TATTGTTATCACTCTATGCTTACAGGTATAGTATAGCCACAAGATCAATGGAGGGGATGATAAAAACACAAAGAGAGTTTTGTATTTTACTTAAAATGTATGAAAGATGTCACAAAGGCCAAACAATAATCAATGAATCAACTGATCCTGACGCTGCCGATAATTCCCACTGATATTATGTGATCACAAGGGGGCAACATCTCCCCCCCTCATCAAGTGTCAAGAACAGCTGACCGCTTGGCCCCTCCGCGCGAAAGCTTTTTGCTTGTTTTCTAGATTCGCGCGCGCTGTTTCTTTAAATTCTCCAATATTACTATGAACTCGCACACACGATATTGGCTACAACAGCACGTATCACTTGGTTACGCTGTACTCAGGCTCAAACAGTCTTTTCTACAATCAATGCTATAATGACTCACTGTAATGGTCTTACACTGTTATTCATCCCACAATATATTATGAAATATTAACACTGGAGTTTTCAGTACTTTCTCTCGTGGGCGATAACGCAATAATTCACTGTACTCACAAATGGCTCATCACTGCATAAACATAGCATATATAATGTAGACACATCAAATATCAATACATGGAAAATAAATGATTTCTGGGCACACAGCCTAACTTTCAAATACTGGCATAATATTATATATAATTTACTACTATATGTTCATATCAAAATCTATAGAAAGATATACACAACACAGTAATTAATCACTTGTTCCTGGTGCCTGTACACACCAATAATCAACATGAATATTACAAGTACTCTTGATAGTACTGTCTAGCACACTGGTGCTTTACCGTGACATGGGTGAGACTTGCTCACGACATATAAAATCCTCAGGCTAGATAATATAGCCGAATAACATAGCTAACTAAAGGGGAATGGGGAGGGAACTAGAAACACCTACTTCACCCTATCCTCCGATGAGAGTCGAGATGTAGCTCCTGGTCCTCGTGTCGGGAACGCCCCCACACTACACGTCGTCGTGTCCTACCAGAGCCTCTCGTCGTCCCACCGTTTAGCGCGTCGTCTCCGTGCCTCCTCACTGCAGGTCCGTCCTCCTTCTTAACTTCTTGAAGGTTGGAGTCGGTCTCCTGGCCGTCGTCTTCTCCCAGCAACGGCTGTCGCCTACGTCTCAGCTACAGTCGTCCGGTTTCCCCAAATAGTCCTCTCTTCCTCAGCTACCCAGTGGCTCTGTCAGCCACTACGCTGTCACGAACTGGTGAATTGCCACAGACGTCAACATACGTCACTGCACGGCTTCACTGCTACTGGCACAGTACCTGACTGGAGCACTTGTTGCTCAAATAACCGTCAATTCCCTCTTCTGGTTCAACACATGAACTAGGGAAGACTTCTCAGAGTACTGGCGGACTTCAGGTGACGCGTAAATCCACGGGAGCGGGAAACAGCTGTCCAACTGACGGGACCAACCGTCGCACGTCCAACCTCTATGACGTGTCGTGTCTGACTGATGGCGCCAGCCCGGCTCGCGGGCCGGACCCCCTTCCTTCGTGACGTCACTTTTGCCACGGGAGGTTTTCATTGGCTCCCGGTGCCACATTGCTGTCGGTGACCAATCCGGTGCCACTGACGTCACACGGTTTTGGCGGGAGATCAGGGAGGCCAGCGCCATCTTGGCTCCCTAAAGGGCCTAAACCACAGGCCAAAATATTACTATTTCACAAATTTCTCGGCTCTCCGAGAACATTTCACTCTCTCCCATATATCAAATTGTAGCCTGCAACGTAGAGAACGCTTGGGACAAGTAGACATGACTCTTACTGCAGGCGTGGGAGAATTATAAGGGGGGGAACTCCGTCACAGTACACACACATTCTTATGTTGGCCAGGTTGGCCAACATAAGAACATTTAGAAACTTGTGTAAGGAGTCATTCAGAACTTTGTATACCACATATGTCAGACTAATCCTGGAGTATGCAGCACCAGCATGGAGTCCATATCTAGTCAAGCATAAGACTAAACTGGAAAACGTTCAAAGGTTTGCCACCAGACTAGTACCCGGGCTGAGAGGTATGAGCTACGAGAAGAGACTACGGCAATTAAACCTCACGTCGCTGGAAGACAGAAGAGTTAGGGGGGGGGGGGACATGATCACCACGTACAAGATTCTCAGAGGAAATGATAGGGTAGATAAAGTCAGGCTATTTACCACAAGGGGCACTAGGTCTAAGACATAAAGGACAACCCTATGATGATAAATTATCTGTACTGGAGTTGCCAGTTCGGTTGAATATATATATATATATATATATATATATATATATATATATATATATATATATATATATATATATATATATATATATATATATATATATGGAAGTAATTGTAGAAAGCCTATTGGTCCATATTTCTTTTCAATACCCATATATTTCCATTCAATACCCATTGTTTCGTGTTCTGTTTTGTGTTAGAATTTAATACCCATTTAATACCCACTGTTGAAAGTTCGTTTTCACCTCATCCACCTCACCCAAATGTAGATATAAACTCGAAGATGTGCAAAGCTCTATTCAGTTTCAGTTGTGTGTTTGTAAACTAAAGTCTTTGAAAATGTAATAAGTTTTACGAAACGCGCTCAAGTGTCGCGTCAGACTAGAAATAAAAATGAATTTTGGAGAATTGATCTTTGAATTACCATCAACAGTGAAAAGAAACGTAAGAAAGATAGAGAAAATTCGTGTTAGAATTATTAATCTTACTTTTTCGGTCATATTTAATAATATATGTCTACAGGAAAGACTGACACCAAAATATACTAATATATATATAATATATATATAATATATATATATACATATATATGCGGAAAATCCACAGAGAAATATGAAATGAGGTGAACGTTTCGGCCCTGTTAAAGCCTTTGTCAACACCAGACTGACTAAGACTGACTGACTATTTAGTCAGTCTGGTGTTGACAAAGGCTTTAACAGGGCCGAAACGTTCACCTCATTTCATATTTCTCTGTGGATTTTCCGCATAAAATGATCAGTGTTTTGTGATCGTCAATTGCATACATATATATATATATATATATATATATATATATATATATATATATATATATATATATCCCAAGACTCAATCCTGGAGGACATCAGAAAAATCCAGGAGCAAGGTGCAGTTTTAGGCCTCACCCTGAACCCTTCTAAATGTGAAATAATATGTTCCAACCAGGGCATCGTAGAGAGAATAGAGGGTCTTCTGCCAAATATCCATAAAACTAAACCTGAAGACAGCACACTCCTAGGAGCTCCCCTGGGGTTGAAAGCCATCGATGAGGTCCTTGATAAGAAAATCGCCGACCTTAAGAGGATGGATGGGAGGATTGAGGATATTGATGCTCATGATGCACTCTACCTCATCACCAGATGTCTGTCCCTCCCCAGGTTAACCTACTTTCTGAGGTGTTCACCATCTTACAGTAGCCAAAAACTAAGTGAGTATGACCGGTTACTGAAATCAATGCTAGAAAAAGCCCTTAACCTCTCTCTTGATGACCTACAGTGGAAACAAGCCTCTCTTCCCGTAAGACTTGGGGGCCTCGGAGTTCGAACAGCAACGCAAATCGCTGTTCCAGCCTTCCTGTCCTCCTTATCAGTATCCGACGACCTTGTGAAGGAAATTCTACCTGCCCACTTACATCAGCTGGCAGGTGTACATGATCCCAATTTTACACGCTGTGCCACAGAGTGGGCCTCTCGTGCAGGCCAATCACCTCAACCACCATCCCCAAAAGCCCACAAGCAATCCAGCTGAGATGGCCCCATTGTTGACCAAGTTGCTGCAGAGTGCCTGGGTGCTGCAACAACACAACACGACATTGCTCGCCTCACAGCAGTAGCAGCACCACATGCAGGGGATTTCCTGTTAGCAACCCCAATGTCGGCAACTGGCACGCGTCTCACACCACACGCCCACCGAATTGCTGTGGCCCTCCGCCTTGCTGCCCCAATCCACACCAGATATAGGTGTATTTGCGGCGAGGTGGTGGCTGACAGGTACGGTCACCATGGCCTACTCTGCCAAAGCACAGGGGGATGGCACTCGAGGCACAGTGAAGTTAACGACATCATCAAGAGGAGCCTCACCACAGCTGGATGCCCAGCTGAAAGAGAGCCCCGTTACCTAACGCCCCGTAACTCTGATGCTCTTATTGGTCGCCCGGATGGTATCACAGTGAACCCCTGGAAGAATGGCAAGCAGTTGGTATGGGACTACACGTGCGTATCAACCCTGGCTAACACCTACATTAACCTCAGTGTTGCACAACCAGGGGGCGCTGCCACCCACAGGGAAGCAGCCAAATCCAAAGTACAGAGAACTGGATCCCCACTACAATTTTGTCTCCATTGCTTCTGAGACACTCGGCGCCTGGGGTAAAAGTGCTACCAGTTTTTTTAAGGAACTGGGCTCTAAGCTCATTGAAACAACAAGGAACCCTAGAGCTGCCAGCTTTCTTTTCCAGCGCCTCAGCGTAGCGATACAGAGGGGAAATGCGCACTGCATTCAGGGTTCCTGCCCGCCATCTGAGGAGCTGGAGGAACTCGACAACCTATGATAACCATCTTTGTAACTTATATGTAACTCCTTTTTTGTAACAAAGTTCAAATAAAGTAAATATATATGTGTACATACAAAAGAATGGGGGTGGTAGGAGAATATTAGTGTTCAGTGAGAAACCACAAGGTCTCCTGTGAATACTTTTTATTTTCTTCTCCGAGACTATGAGTCCCCACATTGGCACCAGAGGTGGTACCCTCACTAACTTTATATATATATATATATATATATATATATATATATATATATATATATATATATATATATATATATATATATATATATATATATATATATATAGAGGTGTAGACCAGAGGTGTAGACCAGCAACACAGGTGTAGACCAGCAACACAGGTGTAGACCAGCAACACAGGTGTAGACCAGCAAGAGGTGTAGGGTACTCACCTCGGGCGGACAGCTTCTTGGTGTTGATGATCTTGGCAGCAAACTCCAGTCCCGTCGTCTTCTGCACACATCGCCGCACCACGGAAAACGCGCCCCTGGAACACACACAACCAGCGTTAGTAGGCACCTGCAGCGGGCTGGGGCACGGGCTGGGGCACGAGGCTAGGGCTGGGGCACGGGCTGGGGCACGAGGCTAGGGCTGGGGCACGGGGTGGGGCACGAGGCTAGGGCTGGGGCACGGTGTGGGGGCACAGGGTAGGGGCACGGGGCTAGGGCTGGGGCACGGGGTAGGGGCACGGGGTGGGGGCACGGGGTAGAGGCACGGGGCTAGGGCTGGGGCACGGGGTGGGGGCACGGGGTAGAGGCACGGGGCTAGGACTGGGGCACGGGGTAGAGGCACGGGGCTAGGGCTGGGGCACGGGGCTAGGGCTGGGCAACCCGTTCTCGCAAATTCGTAAAGTCAATATTGACTTATTAACTACGTGCATAGGTGACATACTAAACATAATAGATACCCTTAAAAAGATTCATAGAAAACACCGACCTTACCTAACCTTGTTAGTATCTTAAGATAAGCATCTTATTTCTTCGTAATTACAATTATTACTTAACCTGTACCTATTATAGGTTAGGTAATAATTGTAATTACGAAGCAATAAGATGCTTATCTTAACATACTAAGTAGGTTAGGTAAGGTCGGTGTTTTCTATGAATCTTTTTAAGGGTATCTATTATGTTTAGTATATCACCTATGCACATATTTAATAAGTCAATATTGACTTATTAAATTTGCGAGAACGGGTTGGGCTGGGGCACGGGGTGGGGGCACGGGGCTAGGGCTGGGGCACGGGGTGGGGGCACAGGGTAGGGGCACGGGGCTAGGGCTGGGGCACGGGGCTAGGGCTGGGGCACGGGGCTAGGGCTGGGGCACGGGGTGGGGGCACGGGGCTGGGGCAAGGGGTGGGGGCACAGGGTAGGGGCACGAGGCTAGGGCTGGGGCACGGGGTGGGGGCACGGGTAGGGGCTAGGGCTGGGGCACGGGGTGGGGGCACGGGGCTAGGGCTGGGGCACGGGGTGGGGGCACGGGGCTGGGGCACACAGGGTAACGAGGCTAGGGCTGGGGCACGGGGTACGGGGCTAGGGGGGGCACGGGGTGGGGGCACGAGGCTAGGGCTGGGGCACGGGGCTAGGGCTGGGGCACAGGGTAAGGGCTAGGGCTGGGGCACGGGGCTAGGGCTGGGGCACGGGGTGGGGGCACGGGCTAGGGCTGGGGCACGAGGGGGCTGGGGCACGAGGCTAGGGCTGGGGCACAGGGTAGGGGGGGCACGGGGCTAGGGCTGGGGCACAGGGTAAGGGCACGGGGCTAGGGCTGGGGCACAGGGTAAGGGCACGGGGCTAGGGCTGGGGCACGGGGTGGGGGCACGAGGCTAGGGCTGGGGCACGGGGCTAGGGCTGGGGCACGAGGCTAGGGCTGGGGCACGGGGCTAGGGCTGGGGCACGAGGCTAGGGCTGGGGCACGGGGCTAGGGCCACCCTCCTGGCCAGGTGTGTCAGGGTCGTCTGGTAACTTCAGTTATCAGGATGCCAAAGGCGTCTTTCTTTACATAAAATATACATGTACGTATGTGTGGGTTTTTATCCTGATATTATGTCTGTGTGGAGACATTACCTTTACTAAGTAATAATAATAATAATAATAATAATAATAATAATAATAATAATAATGCTAATAATAATATTATAATAGTAAATGTTTAAGATAGTAAGCAATAGGTGTTGTGTTGATGTATGTCAGTAACCTCGGGTCATAACTTGCTCACCTTGGGTATGGGTCACAACTTTTAGACTTGGGGGGGGGGGGTGACGACGACTGTTGGGGAGATTGTCATTACCTAACATTCAGTAACATTGGTTATAACCGTAATCTTTAATGTCTTGCCCATGGCTCCACACCAACACCCCGTAGAGACGAAATTCATACTCACACATCAAGATTATCAACTCTAAGGATGAAGGTTAAACGGGCGGTTCGATTAAAGAGCTATAAAGGTGTTTTTTTGGGGGAAAAGGGTCATGAAATATTGATGAACCAAGGGACACAATTTCATAATAGAGGTTGGATCGCTGGAGTGTTTCAAGCGTAGGTTAGACATGTATATGAGTTTGGGAGAATGTAAATAGGAGCTGCCACGTATTGGCCAATAGGCCTTCTGCTGTTTTCTTAATTCTTACGAGCTTATTCCTACTCAAGGAAATTTCACCTTAGGTGGAGTAAGGTAGGAGTCGGAAGCCTTCCCGGTGCGTACAAACGTGCCATATATATATATATATATATATATATATATATATATTTAAATATATATACAAGAGTTGTTACATTCTTGTAGAGCCACTAGTACGCGTAGCGTTTCGGGCAGGTCCTTGGAATACGATCCCCTGCCGCGAAGAATCGTTGTTACAACCAAGTACACATTTTACTGTTGCGTTAAACAGAGGCTACAGTTAAGGAATTGTGCCCAGTAAATCCTCCCCGGCCAGGATACGAACCCATGACATAGCGCTCGCGGAACGCCAGGCGAGTGTCTTACCACTACACCACGGAGACTGTAACCTATTACCTATGCTTGTTCACTAGTATACCTTACATATTTAAACTATTACTAAACTACAACTTAAACAAATAGGTAGTATATTACTTGTCAATACATATCTTGGTGTATAAGATTAGTTTACTTTAGGCCTGCAGTATGTCTAGGACACAAGTATACTGGCTTGTTGGTCAGCAAGCTCTTGCGGTGGGCTTAACTACCCTTCAGAGGTTGATGGGCTTAACGCTCAGCACCAAGCCCAACTGGGAGCACTTGCTATGACTCGCATTGCATCACCTCAATCTTTGCCCACTGACCACCGTGACTAAAATACTAAACCTAACACTAGAAACCAAACTAACATTGGTTAGTTGTTATCGGAATGTAATCTAACATCGGAATGTGGGTATGTGGACCTGCAGGCCGCTCCAAGCAACAGCCTGGTGGACCAAGCACTCACAAGTCAGGGCTTGGGGAGCAGTTCACTTAAAGATATAATCACTGGAGCACTAATTCGGGACAGAAGAGCTTCGAATAGCAGCAGGTAGACCCACTGTGTAATAATAGCAGCAGGTAGACCCACAGTGTAATAATAGCAGCAGGTAGACCCACAGTGTAATAATAGCAGCAGGTAGACCCACAGTGTAATAATAGCAGCAGGTAGACCCACAGTGTAATAATAGCAGCAGGTAGACCCACTGTGTAATAATAGCAGCAGGTAGACCCACAGTGTAATAATAGCAGCAGGTAGACCCACAGTGTAATAATAGCAGCAGGTAGACCCACAGTGTAATAATAGCAGCAGGTAGACCCACAGTGTAATAATAGCAGCAGGTAGACCCACAGTGTAATAATAGCAGCAGGTAGACCCACTGTGTAATAATAGCAGCAGGTAGACCCACAGTGTAATAATAGCAGCAGGTAGACCCACAGTGTAATAATAGCAGCAGGTAGACCCACAGTGTAATAATAGCAGCAGGTAGACCCACAGTGTAATAATAGCAGCAGGTAGACCCACAGTGTAATAATAGCAGCAGGTAGACCCACAGTGTAATAATAGCAGCAGGTAGACCCACAGTGTAATAATAGCAGCAGGTAGACCCACAGTGTAATAATAGCAGCAGGTAGACCCACAGTGTAATAATAGCAGCAGGTAGACCCACAGTGTAATAATAGCAGCAGGTAGACCCACAGTGTAATAATAGCAGCAGGTAGACCCACAGTGTAATAATAGCAGCAGGTAGACCCACAGTGTAATAATAGCAGCAGGTAGACCCACAGTGTAATAATAGCAGCAGGTAGACCCACAGTGTAATAATAGCAGCAGGTAGACCCACAGTGTAATAATAGCAGCAGGTAGACCCACAGTGTAATAATAGCAGCAGGTAGACCCACAGTGTAATAATAGCAGCAGGTAGACCCACAGTGTAATAATAGCAGCAGGTAGACCCACAATGTAATAATAGCAGCAGGTAGACCCACAGTGTAATAATAGCAGCAGGTAGACCCACAGTGTAATAATAGCAGCAGGTAGACCCACAGTGTAATAATAGCAGCAGGTAGACCCACAGTGTAATAATAGCAGCAGGTAGACCCATAGTGTAATAATAGCAGCAGGTAGACCCACAGTGTAATAATAGCAGCAGGTAGACCCACAGTGTAATAATAGCAGCAGGTAGACCCACAGTGTAATAATAGCAGCAGGTAGACCCACAGTGTAATAATAGCAGCAGGTAGACCCACAGTGTAATAATAGCAGCAGGTAGACCCACAGTGTAATAATAGCAGCAGGTAGACCCAGTGTAATAATAGCAGCAGGTAGACCCACAGTGTAATAATAGCAGCAGGTAGACCCACAGTGTAATAATAGCAGCAGGTAGACCCACTGTGTAATAATAGCAGCAGGTAGACCCACAGTGTAATAATAGCAGCAGGTAGACCCACAGTGTAATAATAGCAGCAGGTAGACCCACAGTGTAATAATAGCAGCAGGTAGACCCACAGTGTAATAATAGCAGCAGGTAGACCCACAGTGTAATAATAGCAGCAGGTAGACCCACAGTGTAATAATAGCAGCAGGTAGACCCACAGTGTAATAATAGCAGCAGGTAGACCCACAGTGTAATAATAGCAGCAGGTAGACCCACAGTGTAATAATAGCAGCAGGTAGACCCACAGTGTAATAATAGCAGCAGGTAGACCCACAGTGTAATAATAGCAGCAGGTAGACCCACAGTGTAATAATAGCAGCAGGTAGACCCACAGTGTAATAATAGCAGCAGGTAGACCCACAGTGTAATAATAGCAGCAGGTAGACCCACAGTGTAATAATAGCAGCAGGTAGACCGACAGTGTAATAATAGCAGCAGGTAGACCCACAGTGTAATAATAGCAGCAGGTAGACCCACAGTGTAATACTAGCAGCAGGTAGACCCACAGTGTAATAATAGCAGCAGGTAGACCCACAGTGTAATAATAGCAGCAGGTAGACCCACTGTGTAATAATAG